TGTGTGTGTGTGTGTGTGTGTGTGTGTGTGTGTGTGTATGTGTATCTCTCACACACACGACAACACTTGTGGTAAAACTGAACTTTGCTAAAACTGCCCGCTACTAATTTTGCAGGTAGCAGAGAAAGTTGCATATAGCATGAATGATTGGTCTCTAGTGTGTGTGTGTGTGTCCTATGTCATTGTCCGATTTTAAATATAGTCTAATAAAGATTCCATTCTGTTTTAAATTTGGTGAAACAAATAAGATGCAAAGAAATACACATTCATTTTTTGATATTTGAATATTTACTTTTTACAGGGAACACCGGAGAGATTAACAATGCATTTAGTTGAAGAACATTCAGTAGTGGATCCAACTTACATAGAAGATTTCCTATTGACATATAGAACCTTCCTTTCGAGCCCAATGGAAGTGGGGAAAAAGTTATTGGAGTGGTTTAATGATCCTAGCCTCAGGGATAAGGTTGCATAAATAATTTGCTTCTATGTTCTTATTTTAATTGTAATGTATTTGGATAGTTTAGATGGGACTGGTGGGTGGTGAGTGACAATAATTTTTTCAGGTCAATGGAAAAAAATAGCATCTAACATATTTATTCATTATATCTAACACAATGTCACATAGTAAAAACTATTATTTTTTTCCATTAGAAAGAAAAAGTGCAAACTCTTTTTCTAGATTTTTTTTAGTAGAATTTTCATGTTTAAACCTTTTTGGTTGGCTGTTTTTTTTTTCAATTTTGACATTTTGTTAGCTTTATTACCACCATTTACATGCAAAGTTTCCTTAATATGGAATGTTAAATCTTGTATGCTCTGTTCATCTCTTGTTATAATTTAAGAAAATATTGTATATACTACATGCAGATTTAAGCAACATGCTCTGTTAGAAGATTTTAATTAATATCGGTAAATTGCAAAAAAAAAATGGAATTTAATAGGTATTAAATAGTTTGAAAGCAAATTAAAACATTAAACTCAACTTTTCCAAAAGTAAAGCCTGTGGGAAGCAGTCATTGTTCCAAAAGGTATATTCTGCAGCTTGTGAACAATGAAGAAGAAACTCTGCAAATAGCTAATTCTAGCCATTTTAATTAGCAAATTAAGAATAGAACATTTTGTTGGAACTGATAGGTTACTTATTTATTAGATTCATATTGCTGCTCAATTTGCAAGAATAAAACTGGGCGATTTACAATTTGCAGAGTTTCTTCTTCATTGTTCACAAGCTGCAGAATATACCTTTTGGAACAATGACTGCTTCCCACAGGCTTTACTTTTGGAAAAGTTGAGTTTAATGTTTTAATTTGCTTTCAAACTATTTAATACCTATTAAATTCCATTTTTTTTTTGCAATTTACCGATATTAATTAAAATCTTCTAACAGAGCATGTTGCTTAAATCTGCATGTAGTATAT